CTTCCGAGAAGCAGATTGAATTACCATGCACAGCTAGTGATGACAAGATTACTGTGCATTAGCTTTCATTAACTAATGTGCCAAGTTCATATATCACCTGAGTTAAAATTAACATATGGCATGACGAAAGAGATCTATCAATAAAAGGCAAGACCTCAAGAATCTGCAACTTCACAGTGCATTCCTTTTGATTTCCCAGGGACCACAATCTCCTACATGTTGTCAAATGAGACACTTTTGTTTCAGTCTAACAATGGACAAGACACATGGGAGAGATGCTTGAGAGGCCTCCCTTTTGGAAAATATTCCCATTAGTTTAATTAAGCTTTTTACAGCATAGACAAAATAACACCTTACAGAATATGGCAGGATGGAAGCAAAGGGAGATAATTTTCCCCTGTATATTCTGTTTTGTTTATCAATTTAAAAATTAATTGCATCTGCTTGTAAAAAACTGGAAAAAGATTTTGTTAGGTTCACTATATCTCATTTGATCTGTAGATGTTAGGTTAAAAAAAGAAGCAAAAGAGGAAAGATAGCTGCCCTGTGTATGTACAAGCAGATAAGCACAGTTGTAAACAAATGTCCCCTCCAAATCACTCTGGAATCTGAGAATCAATTCTTTCTAGCTCAGACGGTCCCAAAACACACCAAGGACTGCTAATTCACATCACGTTGTCTGCAATCTCTGCTCTCCCATCTATGCTACTTCATTTCTCTGCAAAAACTGAGCTTTCACAGTTTTAAGGCATACAAACAATATCTTAGCATAGTTGTGCTCCCAAAGTCTTTGTTACAATTGCTTTATAATTACAATTTTTCTAAGCTGGTTTGATATTCATTAGTTAGATTTAATGCATGTTAAAAGAAAGAACTAATGGGCACTTACCAGGAAATAAATTAAGAAAAAAAGATTAAAAAAACTGTTCACTTTGCCCTTGATAGCATATATCACTATAAAAATACACAATCCTTTCTGACTACTCATGTAATATAAACAGAAAAAGCAAAATCATCACCCAGTTTTTACTGATAATGCTGATTCTCTATTCAGCTTTATCTTGCAGCTTATGTTTTTTAATGGCTGGTAATGGTTGCAAAATCATTAAAG